TACGTAGTTAGTTCGTTACTTTACCTTACTTACCTAACCTAACTAAACGTAAAATAAAAGTAAATAAATAAATACGTACTCTACTACTTACTTCTCTCTCTCTCTCTCTCTCTCTCTCTCTCTCTCTCTATATATATATATATATATATATATATATATAAATAAAGTTGTGCCTTAATTTTCTGAGGTAAACTCATTCGAGCACATGAGAATAGCACATGGGTGGAATTTTCCACATATTTTTCGGTCCTTCTTAGTATATTCTATATATTAAATAATACTATACATTAAATAGATAATTACTGCAATTGATTCAACTTAATAGATAATTAAACAGTCCTTCCTATATAGCCATTATCATTTGTCAACATCTCCAATGCAGAAAGAAAACAGAACATGCACAAAACAATGCGGGGAATTTTCACTCACTAAGATTTAAAAAAATAATTATAAGAATTGATAAATTCTTCACAAATAGAGGGAAAACGTGTGGGGGCTCAGGGGAGACAGAGAACAGTTTAATTGAAAAATCAGCTCATTTTCGGATTTTAAGCATTTTACCATGAACTTTCAGTCTTCCATACTTCTTTTAGAAATAAAAATTTTGCCACATAATATCATCACTACGGTAAACCTTGTCCAATATTTTTGTCAGAATTGTATCAGAAATTGGCAACCCTATGAGCATCAGATATCAGAAAATTCATACAAAACTACAAAAATGCAGAGGGATGATACAAAGCAATACAACAAAAATGGAAGGAAAAATAGGAAATATTTCCCAATCAGTAACACAAATGGCACTAATAAGACCCCGTGAACAAACAACAAATAATTCACAAAGAAAGTAAAAATCATATGGATAATTCACCAAAAATTATTATGCCAAAAAAAAAAAAGAAGCTATCTCAGCCAAAATCCATCAAAAATTAACTCCATCAAACAAATACACACAAATCAAACCTTAAAAAATCTTACCTCTCCTCGCTGGCGCCTTGGCAGCAGTCTTACTCGTCAACTCCGTCTTCTTCCCCTTTGGCGTTGGCCTCTCATCTGGAGGGAACAGTACCTTATCGATTCCCTGGACTGAAATCCTACCGTCCATATAAATGTCGGGATCAATAAGGTATGCGGATCCTTCCCCGTGCCCAAACTTCACCGACCCATCCGCCTCCTCCGCAACGAGCTTGTGTGGCAGCCGCAGTGTCTCGTACTGCAGCTTCCCAAACCTCCTAACCGCATTGTACATGCTCTCCTCCGTCTGGTACTCCGGGATCACATGATAGTACACAATCTGCTCCGGCGCACCAGGTTCACTCAATTGATCGGCCGTTAATTGAGCCATCGCCTCGTCATTAGGGGCCAAGACAGTGATTACATAGCCCTCAGATACTAACTTTCCCATCTCAGTGGCTAATGAGGTAAGATTAACCAAAATATCAGCTAACTCGTTGTATCCACCGTAATGCAGAAGGGTATGGATAAAGTCCTTGATCTGGCTCTCTCCATCAAACCAGTGGTGGCCGGAGCCGGGTCCAGGGGCAGGGGCTGGAGCCAGTGATGGACCGGGAGCCATGGCCGCATAGATGGGGAGAGTGGGCGTGTAGGGTGGTGCGGGTGCCGAGTGAGCCGGTTTCTTGAGCCGGGCTGTTCTCGGGTCAACTTCAGGTGCACCCTCAGGCAACACGGCTTGGATTGAGGTTAAGCTCCGCCGCTTGTTGAACTCGGCCTGTACGGAGCGGGGGATCAGGAGCCGCTCTATCCCGTGTATGACACCATCTGGCCGGACGATAGAGTCCGGGTGGATGAGGGAGGCCAGATCCACCTTTCTGACCCGGTTTTTGCATGTCAGGGTGAGGCGGTCGCTGGACAGTGTGTCGTGGGAGTGTGCATCCGATTCCGGCCAGTTTTTGGCCGGAATCCGGCGAGGAATGACATGGAAGAGTATCAGAGACTGCAGCGACTTGAGATTACCAGGCTCCAGCAAGAACCGCTTGAACTCAGGGTCCAGATCTCGCTCCAGGGCCTCGTTCCTCGGCGCAAAAATGGTGATGTTGTGCTTCCCCACCGCTTCCTCTAGGGTTTGCAGGAGTAGGGCCTTTTCCAGGAGCTCAGCGAGCTCCGTGTAATGTGAGTCCAGAAGGGCAACCAAAACTGAATTCGAGTTGATCGGCGACGAATTGAAACCAGAAGACGAAGCTGTGGCACCTGCAATCGACTCTGGTTTTTGCAATGCAGCTGCATTTGGGCCATTACACAGCAGGAGACTCAGGGCGACGGCGATTTGCAAAAAACCGTGCATCTTCTGCACATCCATGGCGGATTTGCAGAAGAGAGAGACCAGAAAGAGGGAATGGCGAAGTTAGAGAGAGAGAGAGATAGAGAGGAGGAAGAACACAGAGCTTGACTTTACTCTTTCGGTGTTTGTTGGTGTGTGAGAGAGTTCGGACCTGAGGAGGAGTATTAACCGGGGTTTGTCGTGGCCACTCGGGTCCGCTGAAAATCGAGGCGGGGATCCACGTGGCAAATTGTGGAAGATTTTCGAGCCTTTGAGTACAGGCTGGTTGTGGGCCCCACCCTCTCTCTCTCTCTCTCTTGGATTGTACTTTACATATGTGAGCTGGGCTGTCTTTCTCAACCCTAGTTTTCTATTTTTTGGGTTAAATAAATAAACAAAGGAAAATGGGCTGGGCTGCCCCAATATGACAATTATGCCCCACTGTTCGCCGGCCTCAGCGTCTCATCTTTTATTTTGAGAATCAGTTAGGTGTACTATTACTATCGACCAGTGCTTTAAAACCCCGTTTTTCCTGATCCCGATGGCCGATTTAGAGGGACCAAATTGGCTTTGAAATGCCCGAACCGCTCAGATTCGTCACTATTTTTTTTTAAAAAAAAAGTTTAATATTTTTTTTAGATTTCTTCTAAATTCCTACTTCTTAAGTCTATTTTTATTTTTATTTTATTATATATAATTTTTCAAATCACTAATGTAGACCGATCCATATCTGATCCAAAATTACCAATCGCTTGATTTGACGTGGATATGTGGGCCACTTCACTAATTTGGGTTTTAAAACACTGCTTTTTATAGTAAAAATCAAGAATGTCTTTCTAATGAGCTCATTTTTATCTTTTTGAGATATTAAATTTTTTGAAAGCCTACTTATTTTATATATATACAATAGAAGTACCTACAATGGCATTCAAATGTTCACGAGACAGCCCAAAACAGCTAACGATATATATTTACAAATTTACATCAATGAGTTTTTTTTAATATAATAATATATTACATTATTGTCGATTTACTCAAAATTAATAAAAAATTTAAAATATCACTATATATTAGTAGAGATCTCATCGCTCATTTTTTAATTCTAAGAAAAATTATCAGAGTACACTTAAGAGATTTACTTAATATTTTTCCTAATTATTTTTCAAGACTCTTTGTTAAATACCTGTGATCATGAATTAGAATAGTTCAAATATATAAAATATTAAATAATTGATAATTTATATGTACTTTGATATATTTCCAAAATTTTAAATACTTCAATTTACTAGAAATATTTCGCAGCACACAGAGTATTGTCATATTAAAATCGTAGAAAAGGATTAGCGAGGGTATTTTAGTCAAAACTAGCACAACTCAGGATGATGTTGTCATTTCCATACAATATTACTCATTCCCTGCTAAAATGAGCTCTCTTTCTCTCTCGCTCCTGTCGGCGAGTTGATGGTAACGTCGCGCTTGCATAACATATTAGTGTCATTGACGGTGGTTAGTCGCCGTCAAGTTAACCGCCGTAAATAGTTCGGAAGGCCGTAAGTCGCCGTCATGTTAACCGCGGTAAATAGTTCGAGAGGCCGTAAGTCGCCGTCATGTTAACCGCGGTAGTTAAGGAGTCGGTACCTAGGGTTAGGTATTTGGTCGCAACTCACCTCGAGCCTTTGTGTCGGTGGCTTCTTCCTTTTATTTCCCTTTTTATTCTTTTTCGTGTATGCTTATTTTTAATGTTTTTTTATTCTTTTTATTGTATTCATGTTTTTAAAGTCTTTTCTTTTTTCTTTTTAAAGGGGTTGGAAAAGGAAGTTGCAATCCCTAGCAAGCAAGCCAGGGATAGAGCAGCTTTTTGAAGGTACTAATTTTTTTTCAAAAAATTAGAAAATTTTTAATTTTTTACGAAGCAAAAAAATGTTAAAAATGTATACATTAAAACCGTATTGAGACCCTATGCTTTTGATAAAATGAAGTCACAATCATCATTGATAATTAGATTTAAAAATAGGTGATTGAGAATATGCCATTGTCTAGACATAATGTCCAAAATTAAATCTCTAGAATGGTATGATACTTTTATTTATTGGATTTTATATCCAATAGCTAAAAGTGACTATCACCTCTTTGTACAAAAAATAAATAGCTTCATAGTATGTAATCCCAAAAATGTTGGAATTCTAAACTATCCCTTTTCAAGATTTTCATACGGTAATAGATCTACTTGATTTTAACAATTTTAAAATTTTAAAATTTTACATCAAAATTACATGTTATAACAAAAGCCCTAGCCGCTAATGCTAATGAAGCTTTCCTCTGCATCAATGCCAATATAGTATGAAACGAGGCCTCTCTCACTCATGCATTTTGGGGCTCAGCTTAGAACCTTATTTTGTGAGCCTATTGGTCCATAAAAACTTATTCTATTTTTTTGTATAAGCCGAGAGATTTGAAATCGTGAAGAAACATTGCACATTATACTTGTTTATTTTAAATTAAGGTGAGGTTTGCATAAGGTTGCGACCTTAAACAATAAAATTAGGGCACACTTTCAAAAAACTTTATAAATATAATTTTGGTGTAAAAAATTATTAGTTATATTTCTAATTGTAAAATTTTAAACTTAAAAAATGGTTCAAATCAAGTAGACCTATAAATACTTGAAAATCTAAAAAATAGACTATCCAAATAATGTGTTGCACGATACACTAGTTTTAGGACTCAAATAATATTTTTTCTTTTCATATCCATACATTCGATATCGAGATAATTAGAGAGTTTTCCGATTTAAAAACAACATTTTATAATGAATTTTTGAGGTTCACCTTAATTCTACATTTTAAGATTGCAACCTTATATAAACTTTTTCTTTTAATTAAATCAAATTTTGTTTGGCCGGTCGAATTGTCAAAATTAATTAGTTATATCAATAAAAATTAGTGTTATAAAACCGTCAGTCTACTGATCGGACTATAATTTAGTCCAATCTTCACAACTATGGTTGCCAACCACTAATCATGGCACCCAAGCAGAATCAAGGGGGATTTCACGACGTTTGAGCATTAGGGCAAAATAGCATTCTACCAAAAATAAAAAAAGAAAAAAAAATCATTCTTTAAAAGTTGACTCACACGTGTGTGCTCATGGGACTTGAAAGAGTGCCACCGACACTATCCACGTGAAATTTGCTCTTTGTTTTCATGCAATTGACCAAGATGAAGGCTCTTGAATGTGATGGCCAAAATAAACCAAAAATAAAGGACACAAGTGGAGAGGCCTTCCCTTCAATGGCTTGTTACAATAGAGGTGTGGTATGATGTTTGGAAGATTCGATTGGGAATTAATTGCAGGTAATGATTTCATATTTATTTATTACAATAAAAAACAACAACTTTATAATGTAAAACTAGGGATGCACGTCAAAAATCCATCGAAAAAGGCGGTTTTAATGTTGAAAAACCTTTTAAATCCATCGAAAAAGACGGTTTTAATATTGAAAAACCTTTTAATTGATCATCTCAACATCGACATGTATGACTATGAAAAATAAAAAGATTTTAAGTCTTAAAAATAATGTATTTTACAATATATTATTTACACCTTCCATTTTCAAGATTTTCATATGTTTATCGATCAACTTGATTTTAACTATTTTTTAAATTTAAAATTTTATAATTAGATATCAAAATAGATTTTGAGATAATCTTAAGAACATTTTTCATCAAAATTATAAGTAATAATCCTATAGGAACCTCCCCCACCCATGTATGTAGGACCTCAAAGGATCACCGTTAAAGATGGTATGGATCTCTAAAAAAATTATCGGGGGTAAGACTTGACTTTTCTATAGATCCGTACCAAATTTAATAGTGATCCTTTTGAAGTATTACACACATGGGTGGAAAAGGTCTTATAAGATCATTTATCCAAAATTATATACCATGATAAAATTTGAAGGTGCACCTTACCTCTAGAGCTATGAATTACGAATGCATCTGTATGCCAATTGCACCTTTAAAAAAAAAACCGACTATTTAAGATCCTAGCAAAATTTTGCTTAACACGTGTCTTTATTTTAAAAATATTTTATTTTAAAATATTAAGAGAAAATTTTCAACAAATACCCAAGATATTGACTATTTAATATTTTCCAAATACCCATATCATAATACACATGATTTTGACATGAAATAGTAGAAAATAAATAAATGTTAAATAATTGAAAAGTGACATATATTTTGATAAACATTCCTTTTAGCGGATATAGCTCTCACTGTTAGATGCCACGCGGTGACATATATTTGGAAATGAGTTTTTGATCGTGCCTTCATCTCACAGGGACACATCCAATAAAAATAAGAGAAAATATTTCTAATAAAAAATGACCAAAGTACATATGGAACTTGCAAAGTTATTTTAGTCATCTTACTTCATCAAAAATATTTTTCTTATTTTGGTTACGTGCACCTTTTTAGGAGCGTAGACATCCCAAAGGCCATTAAATTATATAAAATATTAAAAATACAATACAACTAGGCATTACATTACAACTAAAGCTATCCAAACCATCCAATTTAAATTGGATGGTTAAGAATAGCAATCATTTAAACTGGGTAACACCACATGTAAAGGTTTCCCCGAACAAAAATATGGTACCTGAGAAACAACCTAGCCCATTTTAAAAAGGATATATAAAATGACCTTAAATTCAATCTTAATTGTTAACCTCGCAAAATCACTCCTTTCAATATCATGCATTTACTATTCACACCTTGAATTGAGGTTCTCTATTTTTCTTGTAAGTTATTATCATAGACTTTTCCCCACATATTTTGGAAACCATGTTCTTTGCACTCGTACCTGAACCCAATCACATTTTTCACTCGGCATCCCTATGGAACTCCAATTTGTTTTTGCCTATTCGTATCTACAAAATCCTCTCTACATACACATCCTCCTCGTATAAACATACATATCCTCTCCCTCTCTCACACACACAAATCTCTCATCATATTAACAAAACTCTCCATACACATCCCCTCCTCTCTCTCTCTCTCTCTCTCACAGAGATTCGTTTTGGGAAAATTATCCAAGCTTGCGCTTATGCTCTACACTAATTTCAGGAGAAATTCAAACTGAATATGCATTCATTTTGAGACTTGTATTATAGATTTTCAATGATTAAAATTATATTCCCCCGGTGGAAAGGCGGGTGGAACCGGTTCTTAGAGAGCCCTCGTATAAATATATATGTATATATAGTTGATGAGGTGCAATCTATAAAACGTAACAACCTCACTTGTAAAAATAAAATAATGTATAAGTAAGGTTGCAGTGTTTTTCGCCATTTAAATTTTAGTTGGACTGTATAAAATTTAAAACAATATAAAAAAAACATGTCTTTTATAACTGTCATATTCATATAGTCCAAATAAAATGGACGGTGTATATTAATACAACCTTACTCCTACAAGTGATGCACCCTATATAAACTTTTTCAATAAAGAAAACAGTAATTACTTTTCTAAATTTTCCTAAACAAGCACAAAGGACGGCATATATGTTTTCTTTTTCTGAGTAAAGTTCACTGAAAGGACGGCATATATGTTAATGTGGTGATATGTCTTATGGATTTATTTAACCGCTTTCAGGTCATATAATGTCTCTCAACAACATATAATAATAATGTATGAAAGGTTAAAAATCTCTTTTTTTTTTCTCTTTTTTTTACACATTTTTTACAAGTCAGAAGGCAACCATTCGAGAAATAGAGAGAGAGTAGAGAGACTTCTCAGTATACATAAGAAGCACAAGCCAGCTCTTGCTCCATCAGATCCCACCACATCCCGCTAATATTCCACTCAAAGTGACCCTTTTTCAGCACGAAAGAAGGCAGTACTCCAACCTGTAATAACAACATTTCTTTCAGCACGAAAGAAGGCAGTCCCCCATCCTGTAATAACAACAATAATTCTTCCATCAAAAACAAAATCTCTCTCTCAACACCATTCTTCCATCAGTGAAACACACAATCTCTCTCTCTCTCCCCCCCTCTATATATGGTACTTTCTGACGATAAGAGTCAATAAGAAAGACCATCATCTCTTCGTCTTAGGATTTGCAGTTCTCTCTTCCATTTTCCTGGGGTGTAGTGTTCTAGGTTTACCAAATTAAGTACAACAAGGTCAATGTAGGAATGCAAGGATGTGTAGGCAACCTAATATCGTAGTAACTTGTTATTACTGCATTACTAAATTGCCATAATTTTCTCAGGGGACCAGAAGAGTGTGCACATTCCCTAAGTAAGAGGAGGTTTGTACAGGAATTCCACCCATTGTACGGATTTCAAAGAGTGTGCACATTAGGCCCGAGGCTATAAACTCTATGGTTCAGTCGAGACGCAAGTGTGAGTATTAGAGATACCCCAGGGATGCTAGTTCTCTAATCTAATCGAAGAAATTCTATGATGTACTGATTTGCAATTCATTTCTTTGTTGACAATTTTGCTATCTATTCCTTTCCAAGTATTTCTTTGAAGGATATCCCTTCCCCTTCCACTCATGGGATAAATCAACCATTGTCTAACTTATTCACTGTTTGTTCTATCACAATTCATGCCGAGATAGTGTGAGTTAAGTTAAAACATGCATCATACAAATACAATTACAACTTCCTTTTGGGTAGAGTCCATTGGGTAAGTTTTGAACTTGGGATGTACTGTCGCAATGGTCAGTATGCTTACCAATCACGCCCAAACCCGATTCCACATGTAATATACAATATCAATACTAAGTTTGGTAACATAATTACATTGTATGATATTTGGTACTCACATTGTCTGAAGATGCATCCAGAGAAATCTAAGAGCAAATGACCACTAGGATTTATTTTATGTAATTGTCAAGAGAATAATTGATTCCTAGCAAGTATGAAAGTGTCTCAGATTCACAATTTTTTATGAATGGTATTCGGTGTATGGACAGGGCATCCACTGTCCACTCTCAACAATGGCCGGTTAAGAATAACTGTAGCTCCTGATGACAAAAATTCACCCAGGCACGGTTGGTATGCCCTAAGAAAATAATGAGTAACTCTATTTGTTAACAAATTATTTTCCCAAAATTAATTATTTGACCGAAAGCAACTCAGCACTATAAGGAGAAAACTATGGTCCTATACTACATCAATCCAATTTTCTTCTATTTTCCTAGTCCAAGAGAATTCCTTTTATGTGGGTACCCCTTTCCTTCTTCCTCCACTGAAAAAATGGCTTTCTTCTCTAGGCCACTTATCTGACAGTGTGATGAATTCTGTGGCACCACACCAACCAATATTGCTTTGAATTTCGAAATAACTGAAACAAGTTCTATTTTTTTCTCACCGAGTAAGTGAAACAAATTTTTTAAGAAACAAAACCACAGATGCGTGGTCCAAATGATTAAGTACAATGCAAGAAGACATTCCTATGCAGAATGTAAACATTTCTCAGTATGCAGTAACCCAAAAAAAACATAGGTTGTCAATGGGCCTCATGGACAGGCCAAATGTCTTGGCGTATGCTTGACAGAAACTTTTTCTATAGAGGAAATAAGAGGGACTTCCAAGAGAAAACTATCAGGCACAAGAAACAACTATAAATAAATTTTCTACTCAAAAAGATACGAGGCACTATCATATACAATCCCTAAAATGGTCATAGACTATTACTTTGGGACAGTATGTGTGCACTCTCTTCTAAGAACTATGTGCATATGATCACATTTTAGCAGCATTCATAATTCTCCATTAGGAGCACCCTAAGCATTGGGGACGTGACCTACTCAACCTAGCAACCAACCTAAAAGAAAAACATGAATACACACCTTGAATCAGTCCGAAAACCGTCCAAATTTTACCTTCCAGATGTAGATGTTTATGCACTAAAAGCCTTTTCTCTTTTTTTTTCTCTTTTTCTTCGGGAAAAAGTTTATATAAGGATGCTACCTTATAATGTAGAACTTCGGATGCCCCTCAAAAATCCATCGGAAAAGGTAGTTTTAATGTTGAAAACCCTTTGATTGATTATCTCGACATCGAGATGTATGACTATGATTAAAAGTCTCAGAAATAGTGCATTTTACAACAAATTATCTACACCGTCCATTTTCAAGATTTTCATATGTTTATAGATGTGTACTTGATTTTAACCATTTTTTGAATTTAAAATTTTATAATTAGATATAAAAATAGATTTTGAGATAATCCTAAGAACATTTTACATCAAAATTATATACCATGTTAAAATTTGAAGGTGTTAGTCCTACACCTACGAATGCATCCGTATGCAAACTGCACCCTTTTCTTTGGGGTTGAAAATTCTTAATCTGGTGATTCTGAAATTTTCAGAACAAGAAAATCTTCCTATGCATATATGTGGTCAAAACAGAACATTCAAAAAATACTAGGGCAACATTAACAGCGTAGTAAGCTGCATGATGAGCTTTAAAAGCATTAAGGCCTCTGCCTGAATGCACAGATCCCTCTATACAAAGCCCACCTTGATGCCTTTAGGCTTGCATGCCTTTCTTTCTTTTGCCCTCGCACATTTCCAACAGCGCATGACATCCATGGCCCTCCTTCCCCATAAGTAGGCCCTTGTTTTCTTTGGATTACACACAGCGAATATCACTTTCCTTTTCAATTCCCGAGTCCAATTGTTTAAGCCACTTTTGTCATTTGTTAAGACCAGACTGGTGGCAAAACCAGTAAGGACACTGATCTGATTAGACTGAACAGTCCTAATCGGTTCACTGCTAAGACCGGTTGAATAAATTAAAAATATAGAAATGGAAACTTAAAAATAGAAAACAATAGAAATTTATGGAAAATAGAAAATTTCAAAATTATTGTTTTTCTTGATGAGAGATGACATTGTAAATAATACAACTATCAAAATTAACAATAGAGCACACCCAGGAGGCAGCAAACAGAAAAGTTCCAAGAAATATTAGAAAAGAATAAATGCATAACTCACCACATCCCTGAATCTCTATTCAATTCTCATGATATGGAACAAATTTTGTCTATCATATTATCCTTAGTTCCATTGAAGTGTTAAAAGAACCAAAAATAAATTAAAATAAATAACAAACGAAAACAAAACCACAAAAAACCTAATATTTATACACAGAAGGATACATCTAAGCTCTTCCAAATAAAGCTAAAACCAATAACATTAAACATATCAAAGCAAAAACAACCATTACTATGAGTGTAAGAAGCAACCTATTGCATTGATTTCAAAAGAAAACAAAAAACAAAAAGAGCTAAAAATAATAATTTCTTGCAAAAAACTCTAAGCATCATAATTATGTTATCCAGTTTTTACAGGTAAACAAATAATCGAAAATAGGGTGCAATAAAATTACTTGAGGCTTGAAACATGGCAGATTGATGGCCAGAATTGTCCCCGAGAGACGCCGGATCTTTGCCCAAAAAATGGTGGTTTTTGGGTGTAGAGAGAGGGGGTGGGGCAGAGAGAGCAAAAATTGCCAAAGTAGCTCTCTCTCTCTCTCTCTCCCCCCCATCCCCTCCCCAAAAAAAAAAACTACTTTTTAACCACCACACCATCCCTAATAATAAAAATCTTGACTGGTGGATGGGGCCGTTCCAGACATCGGCCAGAACAGTGCCCTGGTCCAGCACCTTTGTGCTGAACCATCCGGTCCCAGGGGATAGACCAGACCTGCAAGGCCACACTGGTTCACCACTTTCCAGTTCAAACTGGCTGATCCAGTCTGGTCTAAATATCATCTGTTTACACCTCTGCATTTCTATATTTTTAGCATTTTTATTAATTATTCGACCAACTCATTCTTCTCTACTGTCAATTGCGACTTTCTGCCTTCAGTCATCTCATGCGTTCTGATTATCCTACGCCTTCCCGCCAATTGCAGCAGCAGCCTCATTGTATTCTTCTTATAGCCCCAATATCATACTCCTTGGATCATGGGAATGCCTGCCTCCCTTTTTCTCAACTTCCACCATTAACCAAGGCAGGTCATTAAAACCTTTCCTCCTCGTTTATTTCTTTGTCACCAGTTATTGACCCCATGATCCACTAGTTTTTGGCCGCAGACCCAATAACTGCTCTGTCTACCATATCAACACTTTTTATCAATATATCCTTTAGCCACCCACAAGTGCTTACCAAGTTCACTTTGTTCTGCAAACTACCATTTTCAATGCGAGAAAGTAGACCACAAGGCGATGCCCGGGCATCAACAAGGTGTCTAATTCCTACCACCCCAGAACACTTTCTGCATAATAGTACAGTCTCACCTCTAGAGGGGCCTCAAAGATCCAGCATTGCAAAGAAGTACCATCAGAAACACTTAAAACCCACCCAAGGTTCATTAATTGCCCGAAACCAGGTCTGATCAATCCGGAAACCTGCTAAGTAGACCTGCTCACCTGACCAATTGGACACCCCTGCAGCTCCTTTTCACAACACGAGTTCAATGAAGCTGAGGCATGGCCACTACTCACTGGACTTAGGTATACCAAGCGGACAACTATCAGGCTGACACTAGCTAGGTGAACAGTTGGGCTCAGTGTTTGAAAACATGGTCTCAGGTCAGGACTCACTCCAGTCCCAAGCCTGTGTCAGGCAACTTAACTAAGCCGAATCTGAGTGAAACTCAGCAGAAAAACCCTCAGCACCAGACAGACTCGACGGCCACCGAATCCAGATAATCAAGAAAATATGAGTTCGACTTGCTGAATTTCCAACGATTACTTAGGCTAGTCAAGAGAGGACCTGCACTTCGTGCTTGGACAACATTTCTTAAGAGATTTGGGGAGGATCGAACAAATGCAGAACATAAATGCAACATTCATGGAGAATGTCTAACCTTCCTCACTAGTTACTTGGTCTAGTGATTGATGAGGATTCTTATCAAGTCTGCTGTAAATACACTCAATTTTCCAGATGCAAACTATATCCGTGCATCAAGTTTTTAGATGACAGGCAAACAGTTACGATCCGGAAAATAAAATCAAACTAATTACCAGAGTTCACATGCCCAACACTACAAATGGTTAAAAAAAATGTGAACATCTAATTAAAGCCATCAAAATGAAAATCAACATGCTGTTCTTTTTTTTGAAATTGATTCAACTAAAAAATAAAACATAAAAACAAAATGCTCATGGAGGGTTTTTTCCAAAAATCCAATGCCACAAAGGCATTCAGTAGGGAAACCTACCAATAACAACACAACGGAAAATATTCTAACACCCCACCTGATCATGAAGAGAGAGCATTGAAGTTTCTTCATTTCAGAATAATTCTTTCCAAAATCCAAGCAATGCCACAAAGACATTAGTTGGGTAACAAACAAAGAACAACACATTGGAAACGATTATAACAAACCATCTTATCATGAAGAGCACAACTTCACCACATTTGCCAATGGATGCATCAGTAACGAAAGCCAAAGGTCACCAGACCAGACAAATTAAGCATGACTCATCCATGCAATGCAGCATATACTCAGCCAGCCAATTGTAGACAGCAGAATATACATGAGATCAGGTGATGCAACTTTGTAAAACTCTTTAGAAACATGAATATGATAAACAACTAACAAATCACAAAGTCTCTACGCATCTCTTCAAATGTCATCACATTTGATTGATTCTTGTTATCGGCTGCAGCTAAAATGAATCATCATCATCATTTGAGCCTTACAGTATTTATTTGGGGTCGATTACGATCAAATGAATCACATGATTATTTTGGAAAATTTGAAAACCTCACAAGTCACACACATGCATGGGATTGAAAACTTACCTTGAATGATGCATGAGGAGAGTACATAAAAGTTCTGGAGAAATTAGGAGATAAATTAATTTGGACTTGAATTCGCCGCACATGAAGCAGCTGCACTGCCGCCACTTGGAAATGTGTCACTATGGTTTTCTTCTAGGTTTCGGTTACTTGGAGGAGATCCTGAGGAACCCTCAGGACTATGAACAACAGAGGGACCAGAAGTTCCACTCCCTTGATTGTTTTCACCAGCACTAAGGCGCTCCATCATGCGTGAGACACTGGCTATACCAGTGCTCACCTCTCTGCGAACTTCAGAACCAAGATCAGCAACAGAGGAGTTGCGAGAAAACAATCTCTCCCTCCATCCCTTTGTACTCTTTGAAATTGATTCTTTGTACCTAAATAAGTACCAACAAGGGACTCAAAGAATCAGGGTTGGGAATAATACATAACTATTAATAAACAATAAACCCATCAATCTGGAAAATTCCTCGAGTCATAACTACAGAAAATTCAGCCAATTTGAAAATCAGATGAGCATAAAGAAACAGGTCATTTCATCAGCTCTCACCTTGAAGAGGCCGCATTGAATTTAGATTTCAGGGTTTCTGATAAGGACTGCAGTTCGGAAGGTCCAGCTCTATCTTGACTCATTGGCGAGGACTGACCACCTGAATTCCTATTAATGTACCCACAGAAAATCAACCTCATGACGAACACAAGGAGTGACATAATGTTCTCACATGGCACCCACTAGACCACAATTATTTTCTTCTTTTTTTTAAGGTTACCCGCAATAGCACATGTTATCAAGTGATACTATAAAACACATACCTGTTACCAATAACTCCATGCCTGTTAGGAGTGGTTACACCACCTGTTGTCCCAGTTACTGGTACCAGAGGTGGGTGATCCATCTGACCCGGAGGCAGTGATGTGATCCTCTGGGAAGGCTCCTCCACCACAGAATTGAGAGGAACTGTCGCGTTAACAGCATTAACACTTGGGGAAGTTTCATTTTCACCACCTCTTTCGACCGGGATTGCAGAAACAGGGCCCCCATGAGGAGGAGCATTTGGATGGGTAGAGAAGACCAAAAACTGAGGGCGCCCTTGAGATGATGGCCTGTTACGCTGCCCTTCCCTTCTTACAAAGTGATGGGCCCTCCCCATGGCAGCGGCAGCTGCCAAGTGCTGAATTATACGCTCTTCCAGTTCCGAATCATTTGCACCCACTGGTAACTACATTCCATCAAGATAAAAAAATAAGCTCACAGATTGGTCTATAGACATGCACATACGCATATAAAAAATGTGAGCATGCATGCATCATGCATGTGTGTTTTTGTGTATTAAAGATGAAATTGAGTAAAAATTCTAAGTCAATGAAGTTGCCTACATGTTGCAATTCGAAATCCCCGAGATGAAAAATGGTGGAATTACGCGGCTGATTAAATCTGAAGTTCCTCTCCCTTTCAACTGCCTCAAGTAATTCTTGGCTGCCATATGTAATATATGTAAGTCTCTGGCTAATCAATAATCAAGAGGCCAAAAACACCATTTGAAGAAAGGAAAGAGCACTAGTTTATCCAATTTTGACAAAGACTACAAGGTAATATATGAGATAGCATAAATTCAGCCATACCTTGAGGGATCCTTCAGGCTGATGGCTTGCCAACACATGGGGCATTGAGAGCTTCTTTGAGACCTTCAACAGAAATATGCAAATTAACAAAAAGCAAGATAGTAACGAAGAAAGCAAGCATTTAGGAACCACCTTCCCTATCTGCAATAGAAAAAGACCAAGAAATGCCAAAAAACTAAAAGAACAAATCAGTCCTGAAATCTATTATCTAGCCTCAGTGTAAACACATCCAGTGATGCCACATCCAAATTCCACCCAAACATGTGCAAGTCCCATAAGAGAGAGAGAGAGAGAGAGAGAGGGAGAGAGAAAGAGAGAGAGTGTGCAAGATGGCACATATAATTATGCTTTCTTCAAATTACTCAAGATATCACTTTTTGTAATCACATCATTATTCGAGCCTTATCCCAACTATTTGAGGCCAGCTATACGAATCTTCTTCCATCATTCCGCTCTATCAAGGGCCATACCCTCAGTCAGACCATAAATCACCATATGTTATGTAATCACACTTAGGCAAAAAGCTACTCTCTCAATCATACCCAAATCACGCATTAACCATATGACCATTTGAACCATACCAATTATGAAAAGTAAGAAAACCAAGAAAACCTGAATAGCATCACAATTCACACCCATCGAAAAGTAAAAGGGGCAGAGCTCATGCAATCAATGAGTAAATTTGCAGTGACAAACCCAACGAGTAAATTACACTTACCATTCAAGAATGCACTGAAGATGAAACTCATGCTTACAGCTAGTAACCTACAAAAAAGGACAAATGCTAACACAAGTTACAGAACTGCAAGTCAAGGCAATCCGTACCAGAACAACTGAATAAAACCACAGCCCACAAAGAAAATGTATAAAAAGAGATTTCCCCAGCTAAGAAAAAGAAAATGAATAAAAGGGGGGGGAATTCACCGTTGAGGGATCACTATCACAAAAAGCCTCCAAGCAAATGCTGCAAGCATCATCGCACGCTTCTTGTATGCCACCCTCAACAAAGGCAGCAGCTGAAGTGAGATGACTCTCACCCTTGTTACTTTCATCCATCCTTAACTTCTGTTACTGCCCATTTAGATCAACAAAATTGTCAAACTACAAGAAATAGACTAAATGTGCGCCCAATACTTCATATGCACAGAAGGAAAATGCAACTAAGAATGGGAAAAAACAATAACTGAGCTCAAAATAAATATTCAGTCAACTCTCAACACATTGCATAATTTACTGATAATCAAAATAGAAAATCCTAGAAAACTTCCGCAAGAAAAGTAGCGAAATAAGGAGGGGAGAAATACAAAATACATGCAAGAAAATTCCCAGGTAAATCTTCATCAATGTCTTCCAATTATCAAAGATGACCACAATTTAACAAAGAAAAATTGCTAAATAAAATATAGACATGAGGACACAAGAAGAAACTAATCCAGAAAACAAGCATATAATCAGATCAGAATGGAAACCGAATACAGCCAAAAGAGGCAACGCGAATAAGAAATTAAGTTAAAAAATCAAGAGGATCCAAGAATTAGGGCAATATCCTGATAACTTTGGTAACAGATGAGAGTTTCCCAGAACCAGGTCATACCTCAGGTAAAATTGGCTTCGATTAAAGGTGGCACTCCGCAAAATTTAGCCCTAAAAATGGTGGTGGTAGCTGAGATGGAGCTAGGGTTTCATGAGAAGAAGCCCTAGAAACCCAAGATTAAAAGGGATTTCTTTAAGGGCTTGGCTTTTTAGAGAGAGAGGAACCAGAAACAACACGACTCCCACTTTTTACCCCTCTCTCTCTCTCTCATCATTTTATATGATAGGCCATTTCTTGGCCGTCCCCTTTTGACCGGCTTTGGAGCGTGTTCTCCCTCGAATACGACTTTTTTATGGATCTTGAAACCTCTCTTTCTCTCTCTGGAACATCATTCTCTCCCTCTCTTTCTCTCTCTAAAACACTTATTTGTTTCCCCTCTTAGCCTCTTGGGAGCGCGTGTTTAACAAGACGAGAATCTCGCGCGCGCTTGCGGGGGAGTATACTGTATACTTACGCCCTACAGCTAACGACTTAATGCGAAAACCTTTTTTATTGAGATTTTCGGGAACCACCTAAAAATTACTAGGTGATTATGTTTAAAATAAAAAAATTAAATTTAAATAATACTTACTTCTCACGACTTAAAAATTGAATTTATTCAAAATACTGTCTATTTACTCCCTCATTTAAAACCTTTATCCAATTTTGGAGTACTGTTTTTGGACTTCAAAATTTTGGAAATATAACTCCGCTATTTGGTAGTCCCACAATATTTTTATAAAAATATTTTCACATGAAAAAACTCCTTCGTGTAATTGGATGTTAGAGCTTTTTTACAACAAGTAGCCGCTAATTGGCGTGGAAAAATGTGTAAAATGTATTGGGACTAATTGGTATAAAAAAATTCTCACATTTAATTAAAAATAATTGTTCATATAAAAAAAAAGAAACTCATAAAAGTATTTTTATGCGTACTAAATATGCTCTGGTACATGGGTTAAGAAAGTTATATTTAGATTGGATTAAAGTTTTACCACATGAAGTAAATAAATAAATCCTTAGAAACATAAAATCCTTTTGACATCTTGATGCTCTCGAGTAACTTTTTCTATATTAGATAGTGGGTACAGTTTGTATAGAGCAGATGCTCTAAAGTAAAACTTATTTTCAAAAAGTGTCTAGAAAAATATGATTTTGATATTGAACATCGTTACGATAGACTTAAAACATATTTTTATTTTTAATTATAGAATTTAAAGATTAAAAAATAGTGTATATCGAACAAATCTATAAAAAATTAAAAATATAAAAAAATGACGGTCAAAAAATATGTCACAAGATGCACTATTTTCAAAACTTAAAATCCATTTTTTTCTTATGTCCATGTATCTTCATATCAAGATGATCAATCTAAAGATATTTGAGCATCAAAATAACCTCCTCTAGTGAAATTTTTGAGATGGTTTCTAATTTGATTGTTTAGAGCCTCGGCCCTATATAAATTTTTTGTCCGAGTAGTGATTAATTATGAATTGGGAGGGTGTACACTAATTTTACTCTCTCTCTCTACATGTCATTTTCTCTCTCACGCGCATTTCCAAATTCCAATGGAGACTGCATTCTTTCTATATAACGAAAAGTCCGCCCTCTTCCTTTTATTACGTTCTCACTCTCTCTCTCTTACTTTTATTACATGCTCTCTCTCTCTCTCCACATGCAGGCGTACACGTTCTTCTACGTACGAGAGTATAACTATTTAACATTTTTACCAATTTGCAACCATTTCAGATCATGATCACATATCTTTTGACAAATATTTTAAAATTAAATAAAAAAAATGCATGGGTAGAAATGCTAACTACTTCGTCAATAGTTATCTTGAATTCTGGATGAATTTACATTTTATTGAGGGTGCGGTTTTTATAAGGTTGCAACCTTAAACTGTCCAATTAAGGTGTATCTCAAAATTTTATGGTAATAGGTAATTTTGTTGTAAAAATTTATTAGTATTATCTTAAAACCTACTTTCATTTCTAATTAGAAATTTTTTAACTCTAAAAATAGTTAAAATCAAGGAGATCTATAAACATATGAAAATCTTGAAAATGGACGGTCTAGATAATGTGTTGCAAGATGCAGTATTTTTGATACTCAATTTTTTTTTTTGTTATATTCATACATCTCGATGTCAAAATGATTAAATGAAAGATTTTCCATCATTAAAACAACCTTTCCAATAGATTTTTGAGGTACATTTGTAATACTACATTTTAAGGTTGCAACCTTATATAAACTTTTTCCTTTTATTAAACAAATTTAAAATAAGGTACCTATTTATATATAACACACCTACTGAGAGAGAAAGATAAATGGTTCTTATATACATGACATGGATCGATACATTGGGAAAAATAAATGGCTTCTTTTACATATATTACACATGGATAAGGTTTTCCTGAGTCCACATAATCTTCTATTTATATGAGTCCTCCCTCCAAAATCTATATTATATATGGCTTTTGGATCTAAAAATTTAGGGGTTAAGAATCTACACCATGGTGAATATAATATAATATATATATATTATTTATGTATTTTTAATGAAAAATATTTATATAAGGGTGAGGCCATAAACAATTAAATTAAGACGCACCTAAAAAATCAATAGAAAAGGTTGTTTTTGATGCCCACAAATCTTCAAATCGATCATCTCGATCTCAAGATGTATAGATACGAGAAAAAATAAGTCTTGGAAAGTGTCTATCTTGTAATGTAATTTTGGACTTTAAATTTTCAAGATTTTTCAAGTGATCATGGATCTGCTTAATGTACACTATTTTTTGAAGCTTTAAACTCTGTACTTAGATATGAAAAAAAAAATTTCTACAAAGCACACCCATTTTTAATGCCTTTCATTTTAAATTTTGGTGGGACCACCATCTTTGCAATCCATCTTTGAGATGGATATTAGATGGGACTGGTAATCTCGGTCGTCCATGGGATCCTGTTGCGTCTTTGTGAGTTGCCTCAGGAAAGAGTATCACATGGTGGGCGCCTATACGTTTCCCTTAGAACATATTGTACATTTACTCCCTCGAGCAAAAAACCAATATTTCCTTAATATGAAATGTTGAAATCCATTATAGGACAGTTCGGATCAATATTTTTATAAGTAGATATGGATCTTGATTTTTTAACACTAAGACATGACATTCAAAAATTGGATAGTTTGTATTTAGGGATTGTCAACAAATATACTATTTACCTTTTGTATATAGAGGTCAAAATCATTCTTGTCCCTTAAATATCAAAATGGGTGGGTTGTAAAAGTGTCATCGAATACGCACAAAGTTAAAAAATAAAAAAAAAATTTGGACTTCATGACCCACCCCAAGCCATCCAATTTGATATCTAATGAGTAAGAATGATTATGACATCCATGTACAAAAGATAAATGATCTCTTTATAAACAATCTCATATATTTAATTTTATAATGTTCATTATTTAATATATGTTTATACGGCATTTCCTTTTTTGGACGTTCGTCGCCAAGTGGAGGAAGTTACATCCTCATATTTGTAGTTCTAAAAGTTATTCCAAGAAGGGCTTTTATAGAAGGAGTGAACCTCGACGTTTCAACCTCCATTCCCTTCCATTTTTTACAAAACATAAAAGACACGGAGGAAAAGAGTGAACTTGGTAGTCGCATATGCTATGGTGCATGGTGGGTGCATGCAATTTTTTGGTTTTTTGGGTAGATTATATATGAGTTTCAAAAATCTACTAGAGGTTTTTGTTTTATTTTTTTGGGTAGATCTGGGGAATACATTCCCTTAACCATTTAAGAAGTAGTTAATGGTTTTCAAATGCGTCGGTGATAATAGAAACCTATACCGGTAAATGAGGCTCAGGTGGTGGTGCCACTCAGGTGAACCAACTATCTATATTAGAGGGAGTCAAGCAAAATAATACTAGAATAACAAAAAAGTAGTAAAGTGCCAAAGATTAGGCAATTTCTACGAATCATGGATCGAGATTGCTCACTCGTTGAACTTGGTCTAGGCTAGGCGATTCCGATCTGAATCATGGAGGTTTCTTTGGAGGTTGAATGTGTGAAAGACTATATCCTGCAGTCTTTGTGGGATCGGTTCTCTACCATTTCCGATGGTCGTCATGCCTCGCGTACTTACATTTCCATCAATTTAAAGATCCACACATCCCCTTTCTTCTACATTTGCCAATCCTCAGTCGGTTGGGATTACCCCCCAAAGGTTCCCTCAAACTGAATTTTAATGGTAGCTCCTTAAGAAACTCAGATTCTATTAGAGTGGATGATCTGCTCCGAAACCATAAAAGGATAATGCTATTTTCTTATACTACCACTTCTGCTACCCAAGCTAAAATTTGCTCTCTTTTACATAGATTAAAAATTATTGTCGGCAAAGGCATCTCAATAGATATTCTTATTGAGGGAGACTCCCATAATGTCATTAAATGGTATAAGCTAACGTAGTGGATTCTCTGGTCTCTTCAGAGCTTTTGGCTTAAAAATCATGGACTATGTGCCTTTTACGGGGCTTCAGATTTCTTTCTTCCATATCTACCGTGAAGCCAATGATGTCGTTGGTAGTCTTTCAAAGCATGGAGTTTCTTTTTATTTTACTCATTTCTAATTCTTTAATACCCTATTTGTAATCTGATGCTTTTTAAGCACTTATTCAATAATAGTTCTTAACATTATATAAAAAAAAAAAGTCCGAAACGTGGACTTTTAAAATAGTTGGTCACATGCTTTCTTATTCGCTTACGCAAAATCATTAATCGGAGTTTTTCGATGTGAAATTTGGATACCACTTCAGAATCACCAATGAGAATTTTTAAACGAGAAAACAATTTAAGTTTTAAGGTAGATCTAAAAGAACAAAACTTAGGGTTTGTCATTTTTTAATTTATTTATGGGATTAGCAACAAGGTTGAGGCGGCGATATTCCCAAAGTTTGACACCATAGCGCTATGGGGTTTTTCCTGATGAGCAAATGTGCAACATGCTCCCACGAGAGCACACAATCTTTGGCAACAAGGATTACATGCCTCTACAATAAACGGCGACAATGGCTCGAAGAATGAAGACTAAAGTTGTTCAACGTACAACTTAGAAGAATGGAAAAGTCTTAGCTCCCACTTCATTTTTCTTTTGTAGAAAATAGTTTTTGATAGCTTGAATATGGGCCCGCCCTTTAGAAGACTTTGGATGTCACCATTCTCGTCCATGTGCCTGCTAGACCAAGATTGGGGTGCATCGGCTCGGGGGTGGCCCGACCTGACCCTAAAATATGGGGGCATGTGCCAAGCCAGCAAAG